CCCCCCCCCCCCGGCCACCGCTGGCAAAGCCTCCCCGCAGAGCCCCCGGACACGCCGCGGCTCGGCAGCGGGCTACCCTCCCTCCGGCAGCACCGGCACGCCTGCCCATGGCTGCCGGATGCCTGGCAGGGCTCGTGACAGCACCACAGTCAGATGGCACAGAGGTCACCCTGGCCAGCACGCACAAAGCATCAGCCCAGAGAGGGGCTTGGGACACGCAGCGGGGCCAGAGACCTCCGCCCGGGGCAGTGCAGGTCTGGCCAGGGATGCTGCTCCCTCCCGCTGCCGGCCCAGCCCTGCCAGAGTGGATGGCTGCTGCCTCGGTAGGGTGACCCTGCAGCAGGAACCAACCTCTGGGCCGTAAGTCAGGACCTGGCACGGCTCCCTGAATGTGAACGGCATCTCCCTGCTCAAGAACGAGCAAAGAAACGAGAACCAGAACTCCTGAGGGGTCTCTGGGAGCAAAGCCCAGGGAAGGCTCCTTCCCACAGACAGACAGGTCTTGGCACGCGTCTGCAGATGTCAGAAGGTGCTTTGCAGCCAAAGCAGCTCCCTGGTACCAGCTGCCATGGGGTGGCAGAGCACAGCAGGTCCCAGGCTGCCCATGCGACTTGCTCATCCAAAATGTGGAAAACTTCGAAGAATACGGCAACGCCTTTCTGCTTCCCAGCATGGTGTCTGGGATTGAAGCCCCTTCTCCATCTTCAGGCTTGGAAAAAGGAGGAACATAGAGCACTCCCTGGGGCCCACGGGGCCAGAGCCACCATCGCGCGTGGGGACCTGCGGAGCCCTTGAGCCAACGCACCGTGCAAACACGATGGAGGGCAGCAGGATACGCCCAGGGCAGGTTCCTACCCGCAGCGGAACCCCTGCAGGGAAGCAAAGTCTGCCCTTTGCTGCTATTATTTTCTTTTCATTCCTGAAGAGGAGTTTATTCAGAGCTCCTCTGAGCAGCAGGACCCAGGTTTGTTCTGTTCTTTCTTAACTGGAGAAGAAAAGGCAAACAGAACTTCTGCTGGAAGCATCCACACCAGGCTCCGCTGCCCCCATCACACGCAGGGAAGATAAACTAACAAAACCTGCAGAGCCACTAAGCTGTTCCCTCCCGGCTCTCCCAGCTGGGTGTGAGCAGATTTGGCAGTCACTGTAAATACAGGCTACAGGATAGCACAGCCATAAGGGAAGGAAGAGACCATCACCAGGGCTCTCGTGGGAGGGTCAGAAAGGAGCTAATTTCAGAAGAGGACAAACGAGCTTCACCTCATCCTCTGCCTGAGACTTTTCCTGGTGGGCTGCAGGGTGAGACCAAGCACTGTGGCCAGAGCGAAAGCAGCCCAGTGGTACCAACCCTGGCAGCATCGCTGCTCCCCATCCCCAGTATGGGGGCTAAGGGACACTGTCCCTACAGCCCCCTTGCCACCGCTGCAGTGCCAGGACCTCCCATCCACTGCTTGCTGTGCCTTGCCAAGCCTGCAGCCACACCAAGGGCAGGGAGACCAAGGAGGAAGGGCACGGGAGGCATCCAGAGCCACAAACCCAGTGTGCAAGGTACAGCCTGCAAATCCCAACCACTGTGACCCCCCCATCAGAGGCGAGCGCTGGCAGCCATATGTGCCACAGGGCTCCAGTTGATGCGGCGCCCACCCACAGCACGTGGCCGGACTGGGGGGATGCAGGTGATGCGAACACAGACCCCCCCGGCAGCCCCCAGAGCCACTCAGCAGGTGTGAACGCAGGGAGCGAGCTGCACAGGGATGACTGGCAGAGCCGGCGCATAGATAACAAATTTGATTAGTGTTCATCAAATATACTATTCGACCATGCTCCCTTATTAATGCTCAAGTCAGGAAGAGTATTTTTAGGTTGTCTAGGGAGATGTCAGACTCAGTACTGCTCCTTTTTTTTTTTTTTTTTTACGTCAGTGTTAATTAACGCTTGCATCTTGGTGACCTCTGCAGCGAAGGCACCCATATTTCCCCCTCTGCCCCACTCCAGTCCAGCACACTGTCTCCTCCACACAACGCTCCTCCATCTCACCTGCTTCCATCGCCAGGACAGTGATGTTGTGCCACCCTGCCGTCTCCCGATCCAGGACCTTTCCTGTCACAATGGCACCTGTGTTGGCATCGATGTCAAAGATCCTCTCTGCATCTGTGCTGCGGTCGATGGCGTACCTGAGACCAGGGAAAAGGGGAAAACTGTGAACAGCTGGATGTGCCAAGCCCGACCTCCCCATCAGCCCCAGGAGTACAGGGATCTAATGCAACAGGCCCTATATCACCACTCTCACTTTTCCCCTGCTGCAGCACGGTACACAAAGGCCATCTTTCAAGCAGGCTGCAAGCCCAGAGCCCTCGAGTAAAATTAAAGTGCAGCTTTTGGTGCATAAAGTGGAACTAAGCACAGACTGCGGACAAGGGGAAAAACCTGCTCTGATGGGAACCTTATGCTGAGGATAGACAGAGCGATACAGAAAAATCATGGGCTGTAACTCCACTCGTGAGTCTGGAAAGCTCCCGAGCAATAGGTTCAGGAAAAACGCCAACCCAAACTGAAGGAGGGCACCCCTGCTCGAGGAGCCCACCTCACCTACCACCCTCTCTCCTGATCCTGCTACGTCACCCACCCAAGCGAGAGACCTGGAGGACAGCAGCACGCGGGCAGGCTGTGAGCTGGACCTGCAGATGACCTGAACTGCAGCTACAGCAGTTACCAAATGGCAAGGTCTCCTCTGAATCCAGACCGAACCCGCGCAACTGGAGCGAGAACCCTGGCCGCAGAGAGGTGGGCAACAGCCAGCGTCCCCACAATCGACACAGCACACCATCCCCAGCAGCCCTGAGATGTGCCCCACTTTGGGCTTCCCAGTCTCACAGGAGTGGGCTGAAGAGCTCCTCCAGCTCCGACGGGCTCCAGCCACTCAGCAGAGACCCTTCACACACAGCTCTCACTCTTCTCCTTCAGCTTCTCCAGCGCTGCCCCAAACAGTCCGCTCCTTGGGTGTCCCATCAACAGCCCACCCGCTCCCCATGCTGCCTCTGGAGAGCGCGACTCCCACCGCTTCCCGAAGGGCAACGCCACAGCTCACGGAAGAGTCAGACACCGGGGTTTAGCCATGACACCACGAGCCCACACAATCAGTCCCAGTGGCATGTCCTGCATTTCCAACCATTACACACATTATACACAGAATAAAACAAGCTAACATTAAATCAGGGCACAATTAGATATCTGCTCCTTGGGGAAGGGACTGGAAGGGAAGCCCGATCCAGCTGAGGCCCTTGAGCACAGCCGTAACACAAATAACAAACACCACCACTGCAATCAGAATTAGAAATCCAGAAGGCCTACAAATCACAAACAATACAGCATAATGTTATTGTGTACAGCATCTTTCATACACACTGCATCCCAGAGTGCTTTACAGAATTAAATAATACAAGACAGCAAAGAGTACAAAGGATAAATTACTGAAAGGAGGGCTGTGAATAAATTAAAGCCTTCAGTCACATGTCCAACAACAGAAGGAAGATAAATGTAGGGACAAAGCAAGCTGGAAAGCTGACGAGACAGGACAGTTCTGAGAAGCCATGTCAGACAAGAGGAGCAGAGCAGGACAGGCTCAAGGCTAGAAGCACATTTCGGAACATGGAGGTGCTCCACACACTGTGGGGCAACTTTCCCAAGTGCTTGCATCTCTCCTGGCACAGTCCGGCTGTGGTCAGTGGGTCCATCACCCACGTGGGTCGCAGCCGAGGAACACCAGCTCACCTTCTGCATGCAAGGACCGCCACGCTGCCCAGAGGCATCGAATGCCTCCATGCCTTTCTGTCCCACGCCCTGGGGGGGGACCAGCTGCAGATGAGAGTGCTTCCTGAGAGGCACCTATCCACACAGCCTGGCAGCTCTGTCTCTGATGGAGGCACGTACAAAGGCATTTCTACGCTATTTAAAGTGTTACAGGGTACCAGATTATGCTCCCTAGCTCACTCCCTTTCAGACAGACAGGGTGATGAGAGGGAAAAACACAACAGCACTTGCTTGTAGTTAAGGAAAAATGTTCAAAAATCACTATCTAAATTGCATCTGTGCACATGCACAATCTAGCACGTTCTGCACCGATGTGGCTGGCTCCCTCCCCCTCCTCGCATCTAGAGGCGATGGGGATCCACCACACAAAGCCAGGTACAAGCCCAGGCGTCTCCAAACAGACTGCCAGGGACTTCCTAACCATCCTGCTTTTTCTGCCTCAACTCCCAGCTGGAAACAGAGCCTCTACAGGCGCGTCGCCAGCTCCAGAAGGGACAGTGACAGTGTCTTGGCATGTACTGCAGCTTCACATCCACTCTGCGCTCACGCACTGCAAAGGGAGAGGAGCGGTCTGGCCACTCTGACTTGTACATATCAGTCCAATGTACTGCTGGAGGGAGGAACAGAAACCGGGATGACAACATCTAATATCTTTCCAATAGCGTAATTGATGCATTTGCATAACTGCTTCCCATTGTTCTCCCACACCACCTGACCTCGAACACGTCCTGTTCTTCCACTTCACTTTTGAATACTGTCAGAGTTCAAGATGGTACTTCACTCTCCGTATGCCTTCCCTGCACATGCCTGTTTTGTTCACACTCATGCCATTGCTGCATAAACAAAGATGTCTGCAAAAAATGGCTACACAGAAAAGCCCAGTTAGTGATGGGAGACATCACTGAGCCTGGAAACATCCGATATGGCCAGAGGGCAGGAGGCTGGGAGGGGAGCGCTCTGCCTCATGCCACTGGTAACCTTTTCTTACGCTTCTAATTGTTTTGCTTCTAAGGTTGATCCTCTGTCACTTCAGAATTGTCTGCTGAGGACTGACTGCCCATACCCTCTGGCAGGGCACAAACCAAACCAGAAATCTGATCCCTTTGTCACCACCGCTACACAGAGAGCTGCCACCGTCGCCACGCTGTGCCAGGGGAAGGGGACAAAGCTCTGAGCGTTGCCTGCATTTGCCACGAAAGCAGGGCTAAGCCTGCTTCTGCACACTGTGATTTTGGAGGTGGCCAGTCCCAGGTGGGTTTGTAGCTCTCTGTCCGTGCAAAGTGCTGTGGAGGCTCTGGAGCAGCAGGCTGGCACCGGAGTTGGGGACTGAGGGGGCACAGAGATGTCCGTCTGTCCCCCCAAAACCACAGCCATAACCCACTCAGAGCTGCAGATCAACCCGCTCCGCACTGCTCTACACGACAGACCTCCCCTTCCAAGAGCTTATGGCTAACCCTGCGCTAGAGCAGCCAGAACAAGAAGCCATCCGCTGTGCTCAGTTTCCATCATTTTGTGCAATACCATCTTTACCAACCAAAGTCTGTGCTGACCATCAACGAGCCTCTCCACCTCAGGTAGTCCAGCTTCATATTCATCCATCCCAAAGGGGAAGCAATTAATCCCTGGGTCCTCCGGGTACTCAGAGATAGGACACATGCTCACTCCTCCTACAACTGGCTGGTGCTCCGTATCTAGAACCGCAGTCCCCAGCTCTGATTGGGATGCGGACCTTGTAAACCATTTTTCTCTCCTCCCGCTGGCACTGCCTGTTGGTTTGGATGTTACAAGTCACTGTTTAATTCAGACAGCTTTCTTGGTGCTCATCTTCCTCGTGAATGCATTTCTCAAGCAGTTTGTTTCACTTCTCCCCCTGAATGCAACAAGAAGCACATTTTATGCCATGTGTTTTGTTAATAGGGAGCTTTTCAAACACCGTGTGAAAAGCTTTTTGTTGTGTTTGTTTTTTTCCTCCTCTCCCTTTTGTGTTGAAGCAGGTTGTAGTTCTTGCTGTGCTGTTGGAGTCTATAAAATGCCCGTGTCCAACACCTGTCTCCGGATTTGGTGAATGCCAAACAAGAATATCTTTGAGAACCTTAAATCCCAAGCAACATCTTCCCAGTGCTGATAAAGCCTGGAATGCACACAATCAGAGCACAGGCTCCCACTGCAGAGAGAAAAACAAAAGGCTCCCATACAAACAGCCTCACGTACACAGACAGTCTATCACTGTATTACCTCATACAATGGCTCAACTGAGAAAAATTGCACTACGCCCAGGAAATGTACAGCTAAAGCCAAAAAGCCAACTGGAAACTAAATTCTTGAAACAAGGACGGAATAAAATAGAAAGCACCGGTCCTTTAGAAAGGCGTTTCCTGCCTGTACCATGGTGGGTTTTCGTGTTCCCCCCCGAGGATGCACACAGCCCCTCAGCCTGGCTGAACTTCAGCGCGACTCCCTGCTTCACAGCGTCGGCACCGGAGGAAGGCTGTCCCTCTGAGCAGCCGCAAGCTGGGGCTGCTCACCCAGAGAGATGGGGTGCTCTTCAGGCACCCCACGACCCAACTCTGCTCCCACCCAGGCAAGCGGCTGCCAGGGGCTCCATATCCATATGCAGCCGGGAGAGGGGCGGCGAGCAGCGCCTCAGGGATGCTTCCCAAGAACAGAGCAGTCAGATGCCCCTTCGACCCTCATGTCTTGGTAACAGGTCACTTTGAGACCCAGCCCGGCTCATCTGGAAGGGATTTATTCTCAACACCAAGTGGCCGCATCCTTGTGGGACAAGCAGGGGATCACCAGGAGGGCAGGGCAGCACCAGGCTGAAACGAGCCTCCAGCAGCCGCTTCAGGCTGGATGGCGCAGCAGGAGCCGCGCAGCCCTGTTTGTGCTGGCCTGGGGATGAAAACAAAGAGCCAAGGGCATCTCCTTTCCCATTTGGCTAAAAATACTTCCCAAACCTCGTTATTGGCAGCCTGGTGTCAGCAGGACCTGGAAACGCTGACAGAGCTGATTTTTGCTCTGCTGTCTCTGGCAATCCTTGTTCTTTCCTGCCTCAAGGGGAGAGTGCATCTCATCATGACAGAAGGTTGTGGCTCTCCCCTATTTACAGCGCAGAGCCAACACACAGACCAGAGTCCAGGAGACAGCAGCCACCACAGAAACACAGCCACGTCTTTGCTCCCACCTCTAGCAGACGAGGATCGGGAAGTTAAAGGGATCCACTGAACTGCAGCGACTTGAAAGGGTTCATACCAACTTCAAGGAGCTGAGGATCAAATACCGGTCATGCTGTCAGGACCAGTTGCTCTCTAATGTATCAGAGGTGAAGTACAAGTGCTGGCTTCTTGTGACTGTACTTTGGAGTAGCACGCTTGAGGCGCAAGGTGACTTACTGCCGTCTCCTGCTGACGGGTGAGTGTCACATCCTGGCAGGGTGCTGCAGGATGCTCGCATTAATGTTTGTGCACCACTTTGAAGCCGTGAACAGCTGCCCATGTGGCAAAGTATTTTATTAAATTACCTGGCTAGCCAGAAAGGACAGGAAAGCTGGAGAGAGCCAACAGCACCTTCCTCCTGCATTGGTGCCGCATTGGTGTGACCAACACAAACCTGCATCTCCACTTGGTACACGTTAAAAAGGCAGGGGAGGCTCAGCTACCCGCACTCCCCAGGCAAGTGCCAAGGGAGCATCACAAAGGGACGAAGCTGCCACTGCTCATGACAACAGGGACTGCAAAAACAGAGGGGAGCAGAGAGATGGACGGAGAGAGACCAACTACCACAGGGGAGCACGGGGCATGCAGGATGAGCTACCTGCCCGGGGACAGCTGGAGGGAAGACACATATTTGAATGCATCAAGCCCGACAAGGAAGAACACATGGCAATCCCCAAGCTGCAGCAGTCCTGTTGGCGGGGCCCTCGTGGCTGAGCACAAGTCATTGCCTTGTCTGGCACTAAGCTTGCTATAAGAGAGACAATCGCGTAACAAAGTTTGGGCTCTAACCCCCTTGCTCCTGCTGAGTACTTGAATCTGCTTCTCTCTGCTCCAAGTCCCCATCACCTTCTGCACAGCAGTAGAAAGCCTCCCTCCTCTGCTTTCTTTTGTTCTGTCTGCAAACAATGCAACAAGCTCCACGGGGAAGCAGCACAAAGAACAAGGAAAAATGAGAATAGGAATAGTTATGTTCCCTAAGGCCCCTTTCCTACAATTACATATCAGAAAATAAAATCTCTTTTCTGGAGCACTGCTAGAAACAGTCAAGTGAAAAAGCGCATGCACACATGCACACACACACAGATGTGTAGAAAGACTGCACATATGTGAAGAGTGCAAGCTGGTAGCCACATGCCCAGGGCGGGCCACAAAGAAAGAAATCAGATGTGTAGCCTGAACAAAGAGGGCAGCCACATGACAAGGTGAGCAGAGGAACTTTAAGAAGAAGTCCAACAGAGAGCACCGACTAGTGCAAGTGGTGCAATGCTCACATACATAGTTCCTGGCATGCGAAGGCTGATTTCATTCGCATTCACCCCAAAGACAACTTTCAGCATCCAGCTTTGTGACACGATACTCTCTGCTAGCTGCCAGGCATCTGTAGATGGCAGCTTTCCATGTGTAAATTCTTTTCTGAGCTTTCTAAACATCTCAGTCTTAATTTCCGTGAAGATCTGGAGATAGCCCTCACCCCACCTTGAACCACTGCCTTCCCCACAGCTGCACAGCACTGGAGCTCAGCACCTCAAGCAAACGTGCGGGGACATCAGCGAACGGGATTAGTGCTGTAACTGAGCCCTCCCTAGCCATGTCCTCCTCCACCCCACGTCCCCGACCCTACTGTGTCCCAGTTTATCGCTGCCTGGGACAGGCACCCTACAGAGCTCTCAAATGCAAAGCCACCGCTGCTCATTTGAAGCGAGTGGCTGTGCGCAAGGTGCCTGCAGCCCTGCCGTCACCTGGCATGAGAACACACATTTCAAGGAAATTTTCCACACGTTGAGGATGTTTTCTGAACACCAGCTTTCCATCCCAACTGCTCGTGACTCAGGCCAGTTGGCAGAGCCAGAAAGCTGCTTTGTGCCTTAGGTAATAACAATTTAACAAGGTAACAATCTCTTTAGCCACAAATTAAATGGAAATGGGAAATGTCCTGTGCAGATAAGCTGCTGCCTGGATTATGTCTTCTGCCCAAATATAAACTCCTCTGATCTTTGATCCCTGTGCACACATGCACGCACAAGCACACACAGCCGAGCTGTGGCTCTGCACCTCCAAAGTCCCACCTCATTTGTCATCCTTCATCACTGCCCTCCTGTCATTTCTGGTCACTCATCTGGCCTGGGTCAGGCACCATTGCAGACGCCTCACTGTCAGCAGCGAGGACACGCGAGCATCACCCGGCCACCTTCCCCGACGCTCCCTTGCTGCTCACAAACCCATCACTTGCCAGTGACGTATCTGTCACCTGTGAGATGGCTTCTCTTGTTTGCCTGTTCCTTGTGCACAGGCTGCCACTCACCTGCCAGCTGCCTGTCCCACAGGACACACTCACACGCTTGGCCACGCATGCAGCGCTTGTCACCTCCACCCTCACTGCCTCTCCTCCTCTGCCATCACCTCCCCTCCGCCCCAGCCCTGGCTGTGAGTCCCCCACCACCCCAGCCACTTTTGTCCCTTGCAGGTGACCCCACGCCCACCGCTGGACGGAAGATGATGCGAAGTTTAGGCGGCTGCTTTACCGGACAGGGTGGTTCGCTGTGTCCGGGTCAAGGGCAGTGACCACCCCCACGACAGAGCCAACGTGCGCATCCTCTTGCACCTCCATCAGGTTGGAGGGGGGCCGGAACTCGGGGGGCTCATCGACATCCAGCACCGAGACTCGCACAATGGTCTGGTCCCGAAAGGTGCCCAGGTCCACGAACCGTGGGTCCACGAACTTGTTGAGGGCTTCCACCACGACGGTGTGCACTTTTTTCGACTCGTAGTCAAGAGGCTGAGACAACAGGAGAGGGTTAGCCATACCCAGCCCGAGGAGCCCCGCTGCTGCCCCTTCCTTCCCTGGAGACATCGGGGACAGCGCTAAAGCCTCCCACGGGAGGCTGGGTGCTCTTGCACCCCTGCTCTACCTTCCCACCAGCAGTACCCACACCAAGGGGGGCAGGAGGAAGAAGCAGCCTCCACCCCACTCCCCTCAGGACCCCCAACAAGATGTCCAGGCTGCGCAGGGCACGGGCAGCCAGGATTCACTGGGAAGACAGCACACTGTGTGCTGCAAGTGAGCGGGTTTTGATCATTAATCACCCTGCTATTATTTCTACAGGGGAGGCGAGCAGAATGCAGTGGCCTTGGTGAACAATCATTCTTTCTTGCCTGCATCAAGTGTTTGCTTGATTGTTTTTGCCGCCAAAAGCAGATACAGTCAAAGCGCTGTTGGTCAGGTATGGGAATTAGGTGGGCATATTTCTCCCCTAACAGGTGCTATCAATAACAGCCGTAAGCACTTGTCTCCGTAGTCCTGTGCACGGCTTCACCTATGCTCAGCTCGCTGCTTCGCTGCCGCCGCGGGAGCCGCCCTGCACGGGCTCCAGCAGGCACTGTGCTGCTGCTCCTTCTCAGCCTTCCCTCCCAGACACAGGACAGCGTTTTGCCATCCAGGCAGAACAGAGGCAGGTCTCTCCCTGCACCTGCAGGCACAAAAACGCAACTGCTACTGCTAGAGCAGCGCTCAGAGGAGCGTTTATTTCAACCCCAATGCAGCAGCAGGAGTGCCCAAAGGGAAGGGCCCTCCTAGAGATCTGTGCCCTCCCTACCCAACCGGCCTTCATCCTCTCTCACCTTCTGTACCGAGATGACAGCCTCTTGGGTATTGCTGTCCGTGGTGACTTTGAACATCTCCACCCCTTCCTCATCCTTCACCTGATATGTCATGTCTGTGTTCTCCCCGACGTCAGAGTCCTCTGCCTTCACCCTCCCGATGGCAGTGCCCACAGGGGCAGTTTCAACAATGCTGAACTGGTACATCTCTGCAGGAGAAAAAGGTACTACGGTCACCGCTTCTCCCTTTGAACTCCCTCCAGCCCAATACCGCCCTTCGCGTACCGCCCTGGGGGCACCCTTGGATTACGAGGGCTGCCCAAATCCTACCAGTGTCTATAGTCCAGAAAGCTCTACCAGGAGAAATGCATACCTCAGCCAAAAACAAGGGCTGAGGGAAGATAACTGGGGAGCACTGATATTTCAAGGTGCCGGGTGAAGTAAAGGCTGATTTCTCTGTGTGCGCAGTGCCCTGCAATCAGTGTTCTCTGATTCTTTGCACACTTTACCGTTTCTAATTTCTAAGAGACGCAGCTAAAGAGCTGAGCCTCCTCCAGCTGCAGCACCCTTTTCTGGTCCGCCAGCCACGCGCTGCCGGTCCGCAGCTGGTGCGCACTGCAGAGATCGCACAGCCCGCTCTTCACTGAGGCATCCGCGTTTGGGGAGGGTCCTAGAGAAGACACAAGCTCGAGCCACAGGCCACTAGCAGTAACGTGGAAAACAGAGCTGTCCTGCGTCCAAGCTGCTGTCTGCGAGCTGAGCAGCTTCATGGTGGGGCAGAGCGTGCCAAGATCTGCAGCCGAGTCCCTGCCCAAGCTCCCAGGGGACAGCAGCCTGACAGACCAGGCTGCCTTCTCCCCCGACAAGGCTCAGAGAGGGATGAGGAAAGAGCCAGCTCTGCTCTCTCCACCGCACAGCCCTGCTCACTCCAAGGAGCAGGGGTCTTGTCCGGAGCGCTGGACAGGCTCAGCCAAGGTGGCTGCCCCTCCATCACACTGCCAGGCAGGGACGTGTTCAGACCCAGGCAAGGAGCCGTGCGTGCTGCTGTACCTTGGTGCTGCCGTCCTGCAAGCAGCATGAGCAGCGGGGCTGGCTCGCTCTGCAGACATGTGCCAGGCTGTGCTGGGAGCTGAGCTTCTGTCCCACCACCCACGAGGGGCCAGGACCAGGACAAGGGCCGGTGCTCACCCCCCCACTGCTGTCAGGACTTACTCTGAGGGAAGCGTGGTGGGTTATCATTGACATCGGTGACTACGATGGTGACTGTGGTGGATCCAGAGAGGCCACCCAGCTGTCCCGCCATGTCCGTTGCACGGATCACCACCTCATACCGGTCCTGCGTCTCACGGTCCAGGTCAGCCACGGCTGTCCGGATCACACCTGGAAACCAGCAGGAGAGCGTGAGCATAGGCAGAGCATCCGCAGAGTCACAGACGGGGTGAGGCTGGAAGGGGCCACCGGACACTACCTCATCCAAGCCCCAGCTCTAAACAGGATCAGCAAGATCTCCCAGCCTCTCTGCGTATGGCAGATGCTCCGATACTTCACCAATCTTCATGGCCCTTCCCTGGACTCACTCCCGTATGCCCATCTCTCATTTGGCAGCCCAGAACCAGACACAGCACTCATGCCATCTCACCAGTGCTGAGCAGAAGGAACGGGTCACTTCCCTTGATCACTGGTGATGCTCTCCCTAACGCAGCCCGAGGTGCTGCTGGGCTGCCTTTGCCACAGGAGCACGTCGCTGGCAACAACCACCAACATCTGCTGGGCCCCAGTGCAAAGGGAGCAAACCCTTTTGCAGCCTTCACAGAGATCTTGTAAGCAAAAGCCGACTGAGGGGAGAAAAGGGCTCTGGAGAGAAGAACAAGCCCAGGGGGTAGTCAGCCAGGTGGAAACATCCTGAAAATCCCCTCAGAGCCCAGGAATGGCCACAGGCTCAACCTCATCCCAGCAAGTCTCTGGTGGATTCGCAGGCGCGTTGCATGAAAGGTTCCCGACTGCTGCTTCTACTGCGGGATGCCAGTACCTCTGACGGGGTCAACCTGCAGCTCAGAGGATGTTTGGTACTTCTCTCCAGGGAGGCTAGGAGCCTGGATGAAGGACTGGTGGGGGCCAGAGGCACAGGAGTGAGAGGACTCGCCCAGATGCGATGCGGGGGCTGCACTGCGGCCAGCCTCAAGGTTTGCACAGAGAGGCTGTGCAAAAGCCCAGGCTGAGTCACGAAACCCCTTTGGCACAAATCTGCAGCAGCCCACTTATCCTTATCTGCTCAGGCAGGAGCCAGGCTTGCCGCAGCGTTCCCAGCAGAACATCCCACAGTGCCAAGCTCCATGTCGCAGGTGCCTCGTGGACCGAGCACGCCTGGAGGGCCCTCCGACTTGATTTGGAGAATGGGGAGGGGGGGGACAGTGTATTCCCAAAAGTCCGTCTGCACAACCCCCCTCATTTTCAAGTGCCCTTCTAAGTTAAGGAGACCAGAGATGATCTACGTGCCCTGTGTCAGGGGCTGAGAATGCTCTAAAGACTGTAAAGCTTAACAAAATGTATGGCGTGTTAGTACTTTTTATCAAATTAAGTCTCTTAAAAGAAATCAAAAAAATGTTTATAGGTCTTCAGTAGTCATCTGGGTGTGGGGGAAATGACGAGAACTAAAATATAAATGAATGTAAAACAAGAAACAAAGAGTAGTAAACCCCAGAAAACATTGTGAATGGCAGAAGTTAGGACTTCCTATGTCACCCAGGAGTGTTTTATTTACATGGAAACAAAGCAGAGAAGACATATTTTGAGACTGAAAGAAAGAAATGACTCTGCCCTGAGGTGGCACCAGGGGCACCAATGAGTGCATACACAGATACAAGGTCACTAGTGGCACTTTCCAGGTCCCGCTATACCAGCAACACCCCAGAACAGCTAGGAATCAGCTTAAAATCCCCTCCAGCCCAGTTTCTTAACATTCCCAGATTTAGACATTGTTTTCTGTTTTTGTAATTGCTCTCTCTTCCAGGCTTTTCTCTTTAACCGTTAGCTTTGCTTCCTCCTACTGTGAACTGCAAAATCCATCTTTGTTTTGTTTCACCAGTAGTCCTGCCTGGTGGTAGGGGAGATGCTGGAGGGGAGTTGCCTGGCTGTGTGGTATGGGTGTCCAGCGAGGGGGTCCAACCTGGAGGGAACAAGGAGCTCCTGCCTTGCCGAGCAAACAGCAGAGAATCATGCAATCGCTCTCAGCGACTTGCAAGACAATTGCTGCCATGCAACAAAGCGAGCAATGGCAGAGCATCCCAGCCGTCCAAGCCACCTGGCTCAAGGCAGACACTTCTGAGAAGCCTTCAGCACAACCTGAGGCACAGTGGAGAGGAGAGCTGGGTGCCAGCAGGCTGCGAGGAAACAAGATGTGGCTTCGGGGACATACCCCGAGGCTTCCAGGCATCAGCCCTCCACAGCCAGTGGGTTGTCACAGTTTCCCCATTCATGTGTCTGGTGTGAAGTTGTGCACCTCCTGCCAAAGGCTGTGGGTGGACGGCTCACACCAAGGAGCCACTGGTGTGGTGACTCAAAGGCAGTCAGAAATGCCTCTGAGCTGGGAGGATGAAATCCCCCTCACCTCCCCCCCCCGGCCTCTGCATGACATTACAGGTGCAGCAGGAGCTGGCAACACTTGTTCTGGAGACATTTATCTCTCCTTGCTTTCTGAAACTAGCAATTATTCCAACAATTATCATCGTTAGGATTTATTACAAAGACATAACCACCGTTTCAGATCCTTGCAGCTCCCCAGCTCTCATGGATAGGCACAATTTCACCCAGCTTCCCTCGTCCCTCTGTCATTTTGGTTCTGCAATTACCTGGGGAGTCCAGCTAATTGCACTGCCTTCAGCCCTATGAATCGAGAGGAGGCTCTGTCTCACCCACCATCTCTCAAGCACTTCCACCATCTGCTTGTTTACACACGTGGGGAACTCTCAAACCCTTCTATCACTCGATCACTGAAGGTCCACGCTCCCGGCCAGCATGCAGGTGAGACGCGGCACGGAGCACTGCAGCATTTCTGCTAGGGAGCATCCCAACCCCTCCACAGGAACACCCTGTGATGGGGCCCAGGGTCTGCACGGGCTCCCTTGTTCATCCTGGGGCTGTTCAGAAGCAGCCATTCAACCAGGAGTCCCACCCCACCTCATCCCAAGGGGCTGTGGGTACACCAACAAGGAGCCATGAAGCCTCCTCCAGGCACGCGTCCTGTCCAGGAGCAGGCAGGACTGGCCTTGCACAAGCACCATCTCCCCAGGGCTGCACGGGACTGGCCTCAGCCCGCGGTGCTTATAGACCTCTCCTGCCACTCCACTATGAATACAAAACCGTTATTTCTGGGCAAGCACTATCTCATTGAAATTTAAGCAATTCTGTTAATTAACAGGGTCTGAAGCATTTTATAATGAAAATGATTCATGTCAGCACAATAGTGATGAATTGGGATGAGAGGGAAAAAGCTCAGGCATTCACCAAAGCTGTAATGACTTAACTGAGCTGCTCATAATGATATAGCTCATAATACGCCACGCAAGATGGGAGGAAAGTGCTCAGGCGCTTCCCAGAACAGCTCCAAGGTCATCCGTCCCACCAGAGAGCAAGTCCAGGCCATTTGGCACGTGCAGGGCAGACAAACGGCCCCAGTCGGCTCCGATTCTTCTAGTGGCACGAGGCAGAAAAAGATCCTTGTCTTTGACAGGGGTGCAGACTGTGAACAGAAACCACCTCCTGCCAAGACGCATACTGTTTGTCCAGTTCACCCTGGAAAAGTGAGGCTCTGATGCAGATGATCTGCCCCTTGCCCCAGGCCCCCAAGAGCCCCAGCAGGATTGTCACTGAGAGAGCTGCTCCCCCTAAAGTTGCCCGGGCCACACCAGGCTACAACCCCAAACATCCGGCTGGCTTTGTCTTTCAGGCTGAGGAACCGCTTAACCAATTGCTAGTGGCCTTGACAAATCTGGGTCTCCAAACATCCTCCACACCAATTCCTTCTATATGACACTACAAATGCTGCCATAAACACCCACCAGCACCAAACTTGCATGGTCCCATCTCCTAGAGCCAGGAGAGCCTCTCCTCCCAAAACCTGATCCCCAGGGACTCTGCAAAGGCAGCAGCAGTGATGGTGGCAGACTTGTTCTCAGGGCTCAGAAACCTCCACTGCTGTACGTAAAACATGGAAAACTCACTATCGTCTCCCCAAATTCACCTTCTTTCCAGCCAGAAAAACTGCCAAACTTTGTCCTTCCCAAAGAACAACCTCCAGCTCAGACTCATCTCCCTAGTTCTTGTCAGCATCTGTTATAGTTGAATAATACAGACGCATGGTGGCATACCCTCTGGTACAAGGCACATGTGGCTTTCCAGCATGATCCAGATTAATCAGTATAATTACCAGGCAAGGGGACACTTACAGCATCACATAAATACCATCAAATCTGCTCAAACAGCAGACACTCTTTGGGTGATAAAAACAAAGCAGGACAAAGCACTCAGCAGGTAACTGCCTTCATTATGGACTTTGCTCTGCTCTCAGATACTTTTAGCTCTGATGTCCACATCCTCAGAGACCCTCTGGACAAGGCACCTTCCAGCTGAGGGCAGTCAGGAGCAACATGCTCCCTGCCACAAAGTGCAAAGCCAGAAAGTCGTGGTGTGGACATATTGTCAGGAGGTCCCTGGTCCAAATACAGCTCAAAAACAGGTGCTCGTCAAAGGCAGATGAGATTACTCATGGCAACGTCCAGTCAGATTTTGAGTACCTCCAAGGACGGAAACGCCACCTTCATCGTGACAAGTTTTCTCTTCCATTTGTCTCTCTTTACTGTGCATGCCTGAGAAGAGTCTGGATCTGTCTTCTCTATTCCCTCCTGTTTAGCCAGATGAAAGAGATTCACTCCTCTCAGCAGCTTGGTCAGCTAAAGTGAACGTATCCTTGCTTCAGCCCAGGGGTGGCAAGGCATCTACCAGCTAGGCTGCAGATTGCTCACCTGTGCCCACACCTGCCTGCAGGGTCATAGAAATACCAATATATCTGCCAAGACACAAGTCCTGCTTGAGGCGTACATCCTGGAGGAGGTCAGCCCACTGCAGATGTGGTTTTAGCCCCAAGCGCTTTTTGAACCAGCGCTTCATCTGTCCTACGTGAACAGCCCCCTTCCTGTCCTTCACTCAGGACAATTTGGGAGGCAGAAGCTACAGGGAGTCTGAGCAAGGTACTGGGCACAAGTTTCAAGAGGTCTCTTCAGCAAATGTCTCTTCAGCAAATAAGGTAAGATCCAGAAATGGAAGCATCATGGTTCCATCAGCATAACCAAGCTAAAGTTAATTGGAAAGGTGCAGACTCACACAACTACTATGACTGAGGGATGCTGTAGCCTGCAGATTTCTAATGCGGTACCTTTCATAGCGGGTGGTCAAGTCCTTTTCAAACTGGTGTGCTCCACAGCTTCCAGGGCAGCACCCCCAGAGACAGAGCTACTGCCACGGCTCAGAGAGGAGCATCTTGCAGGGGCTTGTTCCTGGCTGGAATCAGCCTTCACCATGCCAGCGCAGAGGGAGCAGTGCCCTCGAGGGGGGCACCTGCGGTGTGCTCCGACAGATGGGCCAGCACACTTACCCTTTCTTCGTCCCTTCTTTTAGCAGCTAAATCCCTCAGCATTTAATATTAATTCCCACTGGATATTAGTAGATACACCTTAATTTCCTCAAGATGACCAAACATGGAATTTGGTCCCAAACCAACCAAATGTCCTGAACCAATCCCTGAAAAGTACTGTTAACATTCCCTCTTGCTAATAAGAACAATCACCTCAAATAAGCGTGGCTTCTCTACAGACTCTTATCACCCACGCTCGGAGCCCCTTGTCCCCATGCACAGCTCTGGTGAATAAGCTTCTGGGATGGGGCACAGACCTGCATAAACCCGTGTGCACACAAAACCACACATGTTGATATCTGTGTTTCCAGGCACTGATCAGCATTTTTAACAAACTGGCAAGAGCAGCAGAGAAACACGTTCTGCCTCCCACCACTGCATCAGGCAAATCCAACAGTTCATCAGCCCAATTCAGCATGTTCCCAACAACAACTCCTCTCCGAGTCTGCCCCTACTACCCTGGGACTAGTGCTGTGGTTGGTCTCCAAACAGGGCAAGGCTGACAAGTAAGGATGAAACAAGTAATGACCGGACACAAATAATCATCGACTTCATCCCAGCAGGCCACTATTTCTTGTCCTGCTCTCCCTGGCACAAGTACCACCTAAGCCCTCACCGGCTAAGTCTCCAAATCGGGAAAGTCAGGAGGTGTTGTAAGTAATCATAAATGCCAGACTGCATTTCAATTAGCCTTCTGAGTCCTTCTGCCTTTTCCCTGCATACAGCAGAATGACGGATTTTGAGAACAACCTCTTCCTTTCAGTAAAAAGCAAGATTCCCATGCACCCTCCTGAACTGACAAGCTGGGCTTTTAGGAAAGCAACAAATATCGTGAGGCCTATGATGTTACCTGCTGTGATTGCTCTGTAGCAGTCAATATCCCCCGCAAAGGGATGAACAAGACTGCTGGAGCCGAGGGCACCAGGTTATGCTCCCCTTCTGGGTGTCGAGTATTTTCAGGTTTCCTCCTAAGGCTGTGGGCAGGGATTGCGGCAGCAGCAAGTCTCCAGCCATGCTGGCCAGAGATAAGAAAGGGCATTGCAAAGAACACGGGAACAGCCATGAGCAGGCAGGCACAGCTGCCTGCTGAAGAAAAGCTTTGCCCCATAAAGGTGAATAATCTGCGGAGGTACAGAGAGTGCAGGATGATATAAAGCGGCATGAAAATATGCCCTGCAAATTTAAATGCACGCTGAATTCTCCTTTCACGTAAATGCACTGGGAGTCACACACTCTCTGTGCTCATCCCAGCATCTGAAAAGTCTAAGTTAGAAGAATCTTGGTGAGGACGGGCTTCCTGGAGCTAGAACAGGAACTACCACTATACCTCCCGACCCGTGTGCTGCTGGGCAAAGCTGGGGCTCGTGGCCCCCGCAGCCGCCAGCCTCCCCGCAGCCTGCCGCAGGGCGAGAGGGGCTCTCTGCAGTCAGACTGAAGCGCCCTCACCCCGACGGCAGAAGCGGCCGTTTCCCCACCAGAAGCAGCCGAGCAGACATATGTGCTGACTGCTGTAAAGGCACAGCCTCCTGCAGCAGGAACGGGGCAGCCACGAAGCAGTGCCACGCTGTTGGGAAGAGCCGGCAAAGATCAGCTGCAGCCTGTCTGCAAACTGAGAATGAACGAGGAAGGCAGCGCACAGCCTAAACATGACTATTGCCTGCAGGCTCTTGCAAGGAGCCTGGGGGATATCATCGTAGCTGGCGCAGAAAATCATGCCTCCAATGTTCGTGCATATAAAGTTCCCCACTCATACACCAAGAAATCCAGCCTAGACCTTCAACGTGTGCACGGGGAGTTCTGGGACCTGATTTGAGGTACGCAACACAAACCAACAGAGAGTTTCAGCATCTGAAACTTAGTTCTCAAAGCACAAGAGGTAGTGGGTGGTGTATATGAAAGAAAGAAAAGCTCACATGCATCTGCTGTGCTTTTTCTTCACCATCAGTCAACACTGCCAAAACTGGAATCATTCTTCACAGCTTTGTGGACACCAGCGAATGCCATGCTGCAGCTCCCACTATTCCAGTGGGGCCATTTAGTTGCTTGTCCCCCTCCAAAAAGACGTCTGAGACACTACAGGAATTTAGGGCTTATTGAGCGTTAGGACTTGGCATAGCATGGCATCCAGACGGTTTGGGTCTGCCTTCGAAATGTCCATCAAATCCAAAATCCCAGCTGCACACTACAGGTAGTAACATCCAAGAACAGGAGACAAAGTAGGCAACCTACACACGGTCCCATATCCTGTACTCAAGTGTGCAAACCCCGCTTGTGCACGCAACACCTATGCCACGAAGGGCAGTGTGAAAAGAGCTGGTTGTAAAGGCAAGGAAGGAAGGGAGAACCTGCACTGGAAGGAGTCATGGGCTTAGGTGGTGTGCAAGGGAGCACGTGCACGTATGGACCTGCAAGGAAAGGTGAAGGAGGAGGTCAAAACCAAAAAGGGAAAACAAATTGTTCTTCATTACCATATATTATAAGAAATGTAACATGCCAGGTTTTTATGGTTCTTTTTATGGCCATTAATAACAATGGTGGCTCTGAGAGTTATGCTGCTGCTATGGATAATTAAATCTTACGCTCAGGGCAGGAGCCGCGCCACCCAGGGCGGTCAGAGCAGCATTCCCATGCGGAGCACTAAAAACCCATTCAAGTGCAGAGTGGGAGCGGGATGGGATTTGCTTGGGTGGATGTGCTGGCTTCCTGGCCAAGTACCAAAGAGACAGGACATCCCCCCTCGGCACCACCAGTCCCATACCTGCTGGCCCCAGCAGCGCGCCCAGGCGGGCTAGCGCACACAGCTCACGCCAGGCACGAGGCCACAGGACAGACTGCAACCGCATCTTAAGCGGCCAACAGGCAGAGCTGCACACCCCATTCCTGGAGCCCAGGCGAGGCAGCTACGAAAGGCTATTTGCAGCTCAGACATCATCAAAAAAAAAAAAAAAAAAAAATTAGCCCCAGCACCTGCCTTAGAGGTCAGATATTCTGGAAACAGACATGCTCAAGAGGGGCTGAGGGCTCTTTTGCAGACTGTCAGCACTTTTGCTTTTATGAATCACAAGGAAGTAGAACAGTAAATCAACCCCCCCCCAGTGTATGAAACAACCAGCTTGAGAATTAAGACACAAAAAGTCAAGGAATCAAGAAGCTTGGATTCCCAGAGTGACATTAATTCTCACCGCAGTCCCACAGGGCGCATTTTAGTTTATGCCTTAATACAGAGCATTAATGTTGTTGCAGGAAGCTGAGCCTCTGCACGTCCTGGCTTGTGCATTTTGCTCCCAGTGGTCCCTCTTCGTTCTTGCAGACAGGCTTCCACTCGCACGGAGCTCACTCAGATTAACAGGATCTCACCAGCACCTAAATTTTCACTGTTTAGCCCATTGTTCATCCACCTTCTTCCCTCTTCGCCCCCCCAGTAAAACAAAACAAGTCTGGGAGAGAAGAAAGCCCAGGTACAGCAGCTCCTGGGCCAGGAGTGGGTATGGCCCCAAGCTGCTTCTTGTGCACCCACCGCAGCAACCTCTCTGCAGACAATGGCATTTTCCACCACGTACCCACCCCACACTCTGCCGTCAGGTGTGTTTAGGAGCTACCAAATTCGCGCTTTCCTCCAGTGCAGCCAGGGCTGGTGGCAGTGCCAGGGCAGTACTGGTTCGCCCACGCGCACCAGACTGGTTTCTCAGGAGGTGCGTGGTTTCACGCAGACGGAGGCTCAGGCACACGTACCTTCCTTACACTCTCCTCACCACAGAGCCTCCCAACAACTTTCACTCTGACTTACATAAAAACAGCCTCAGAAAATGAGCCTGACAGAGATTTGGTCCTTCGGCCCAGGGGTTAATCTCAGCCTGTGTCACTGTGGCTCAGCAATAGGGTGGGGGGGACTTTGCCATCCAGCTTTCCAACAAGAGGCGCAGCTACCCAGCCTGCTTGTCCTTTGACAATTTTTCATTACGCTCTGGGTTCTTTACTGCATGCTTTGTGCCTTAAACACCTCTTATTAGCATTTGAGTGTCTTCCCTCCTTAGCAAGCTTGCAAGGCTCCCATTAAGGGTAATGAGAGTCACACTCCTGGGAGGCAAGGAGAATATATACCCCAACAACTCCTGGTTATGGTCTACTCTAACCAGTATGTCAGAGCATCATCTGCTAGTGATTTATTACAGAGGCATTTTACAACAGGCTCTATTATAAGTTATTAAGGAATGGAGCAGCTTCTACTGTTCTTTCATTAAATATTAATAGAACATTTATAAACCGATCCTTAATTTAAAGTGTTACCTTTAATCAAAGCCCCGGTGATAACAATGCAGCCTTTGGTAAGGCCCCTCCGGTAGTGCTTAAACCTTTCACACTGAGATTTTATGTGCCTGCGGGTGCACTCGTGCTCTGGGCATAGAGGAGCTCTGGGCACTCTGGGCTGGCAGCTGCAGGTCTCGCTCCGCAGCGCTGCTTGCTGCGGGCGCTGCAGAGAACCCGCCGGGCTGGCGAGCTTCCTCTCCAGCATCCAGCAATGCCCGTGGCACGGGTACCGCAGCACCAACAGCCGCAGCACGGAGGTGCAGACCTGCTGGCACACGGCCATGCACCGAACAGATGCAGGACGCGGGGCCACGGTTTGGTCTCCTGACGCCCCACACGGATGGTCCCAGCCCAGTTGGGTGCTGCTCACCTGTTTTACTGTCCACAGTAAAGTGCTGCTCGCCCTCCAGCACACTGTAGACTACCCGGGCACTGCTCCCGTATGTGGGGTCATCAGCGTCGGATGCCATCACCTGCATCACAGAGGTGCCTGCAGCAGGGACAAAGGAGGAAAACAAAAAGTCAGGGAGGAGGTGAGAAGAGCCACACAGACCTCAGGGGCAGGGACTGGCAGAACGGGAGAGCAGGGATCAACGCTGACCGCTCACGCGTGCTGATGGAAAGAAGAACAGTTGGGTGCAAATGCAGCATCGCCTCCCCCCAAAGGCCTGAGAGCCAGGACTCCAGACCCTGCTGCAAACCCCCCTTTTGTCCTGCAGAGTGGCAGGAGGGACTGGACCATGGGCCACCACGGCGCTGCTGTCTAGGCATGACCTGCTCTCCAGGAGATCACTGTTCTGAACAGCTGAGAGCTTTTCTCCCAGAAGAGTTTTGCTAGACCATCTGGGAAGGAGCTGGGGATGAGATGTTATCACCACAGCTGCCCCTTCCCTGTCACCACCGAGCAACAGTCACCTCCTGCCCATAGAGGGACCTCCCAGCCAGGGCCTGATCCACACGCAGCACATCTCTGCAGCAGACAGACCTGCAAAGGGACGACAGCCATGGGAGAGGACGGGCTTTTCGCTTGCCCAGAGCCAGACACAGCACCACGTCCTCATGCTCTACACGTAGCAGGGCAGGAGGACTATAAATTGGATAAAAGTCCATCAAATGTCTGCAATTAAGTTATTGATTTTCAACGCTGCCTCATTAAACTGGGTGCTTCACTCCAACTGTCCCTGTCATGGCTTTAATTTGACATCATGTTCAATTTGACAAAAGCAGGACCCAGGACATGAGAACAGGCCCGGGAGCAAAGGGGCTGAGATCTACAAAGACAACAGAAGGGAGGAAGGAGGGAAAGCCTAATCCCACCTACAGACACCTCTGAGAAAGGAGATAGTGTGACCATCTACCTTGGTGTAGGAGACCATCTACCTTGAGAAAGGAGATGGTGTGACAGGCTACCCAGCTCCACCTCTAGCACCAGAGTCAGAGCATCCCTGCCCTGGACGTCAAGCACTGGCACCAGTCACCTCTCTGGTAGGATGGTACAGGACAGGGAGAAGAGCCCTGATCTGCTCAAGGGAAAGTTGAAACCTACTGGGAAACTCCCTGCTGCACGACACTGCCGGAGCCAAGAGCTGACAAGGACGGCAGAGAAGCTGGAAATTTATAACGGACAAGATCCCCCAGCAATGATTGCAGGTAGAAGGTAGGTTTTGCAGCAGAGGTGACTCTAGGGCACAAGACCAGCCTAAACTGAAGGGGCCAGGAGAGAACATTTCACAGCTCACACTGCTGCATCCAGCAGCTCTGCTCTGCCTCAAGCGCCTCTTAGGGCTGCTGTGCCACCAGCTGAGGACCAGAGGTACCGCACTCTGGTCCAGAAACCCTTCTGTTCTGCAGTACATCCATCCGTATGCTGCAAAGAGTCTCACAGGCCAGTCTTGGCTAGACCCATGTCCTGAATAACCCAGAGCCAGGCTTACTACTAGTCGTCAGCACGTGAGTCTAGACCCACTACATTCCCAAACGCCAGAGGTACACACAAAGTCAGAAGCAGCCTCTGTTCCCGTGTCACAGTGGGCAGAAATGGAGCTGGAACCATCCAGACGGAGAACGAGGAGCTCCAGTTCCTGATGCCTTCCTCTTCCCTTGTCAGGAGACCACAAGCCCACAGCCTGCAAGCAAGCCAGGCAGCCCAGGCACTTCTGCACCAGCCCAGCCTGGACTCAAGATAGCGATGCTGCTGCCAGCAGCTGGGATGCACACGCTCCCCCCTAGTCCAGTTCACACTGATCTCCTGGAAAGGGTGTTCACTGAGGAAAATGAGCAGTTACCATGGTTGCTTTTCATTCTTCCTGGCCATCTTCTCAGAGCTGCAGCTCTGCTGATAACATGAGAATCCCCCTCATCGATCTTCATCAACAAGCTACCTCAAGTCGACTTATTTATGCTTTGCTGTCTCCAGTGAAGTTATGGTGCATCCCTGCCAGGCACGTCCACATTACACCACAGCAACACCAGCTCCCTGCCTCGCAAACAACTGTTTAAGAAATACTATTGCTGCATTTCCTTGAAAGGGTCTATCCTGCCTCCTCCTCCTCCTCCTTCCTCTGCCTACCATCACACAACTCTTTCACCAGGTATGAGCCAAGGCAGATTACCCCCACTCCAAGAACCACTTGCTCTTGCCGAGGCACCTCAGAGACAAAGGGTTAGGAGATCCAAAACTCACCCACGTGTAGACAAGCCTATCAGGAATTCGCCTGCACTTGCCTGCTATACAGTATAAGCTGCATCATGACTGCATGCATGCAGACAGAGCAAGTGCCCCAAGGACTATGCCACAACCCTCTCCATCTCAGTGCTGTCACCCCGCAGGTGCCAGCCCAGTGTTGATTAAAGAGGGGGGCAAGCCACGAAAAGTTTGCATCGGGCTCTGCATCTCATGCTGCTTCTCCCCAGATGCGTTCGCTCAGTCGCACGGTTCACCAACTGATCCGTCCCTCCCAGACAAACAGCTATACCCATTGTGTTCCAGTCTCTACCCGAACACTGCAAAACTGCGTCAGTGCCAGAGTCCAACTGGAAGGCAGAATCCATTCCCACCCTGAGCGGGGTTTTACTTCTCCATTTTAAGCCACGCTCAGGACAAGCCAGGCAGGCTGCTGCTCTCAGTTTTCCAGTGCCAGCACAGGAGGCTCCTGGGCGCTTCCAAGCGCTGGAGCAACAGTGCTGCGGGGCAGCAGATCCAGGCTGCTGGGTCCCAGGCATGAGCCCCATGTTTGGGACCAGCGCTTTCCACTCTAGCGCAAGGGGAAACCCAGCAGCATGAGGAGCATTGCAGCAAGGCACCTTCTGCTCAGAGGCAGTAGGATCATGCTGGTGCCAGCAACCCTGAAGGTGATGAAGGCTCTGCCCTTCCCCACCTGCTCTCACATCATCTTGTTAAACAGATGAGCAACAACAGACAGGTAGGGAACATTAACCCCGCTTTGTGCCCTGACTTTTAATCTGCGAAGATGCAATGCAGCCTGCTCAAGGTCACCTATAGGATATCCAGAATCTAGGAGTCCAACTTTCCAGCATCCTCTCTTAGCCCCTACTTATCCCTTTTCCACCCTTAACTCCCTCTCTCCTTCAATCTGAAGAACAAACATCTTGAATTCCGGTTTAACCAGATACCGTCCTTCCTGTGGAGACGAGCCTGGGAACACTGGCTGCCACCCCTGCTCTGATATTCTTCCCTGCTCTCCAAGCATAGCACTGCCCACAGCAAGTACAGCATGTACGACTTTTATTTAGTTTTCTGGCATGTGCCTTAGCCATAAAAGACACGATAAATATACTCTAAACATCCATCATGTACTGTATAACCCAGCTCCCATAACCAGGAATCCTCAACTAATATCCAGAGAGATAATTAGACACGTAAAAGCAGATAAAGACTTCGTTCCTCCCCATGCCACCTCACCCCACAGAACCGGAGGAAACCAACAATTTTACATAAAAATTAATGAGTCAGAGTCCCTCTCCTGCTGCAGAGGTGTGATCTGGCACAGCAGATCAAACAAACTCGGTTTCCCCCCAGAGGAAAGTGGAGCCAAGACCCCCACCTTCCTGAGCAATCCTCCCCCACAGCCTGTGCCAGGGCCGCAGGAGAGGACACAGATCCTGGCCGCCAGCCATCCCCCGGTGCCATGGAGCCCTGCCGGGGCTGTCCCTGTTCCGCACCCTGAGCTGTCCTGGAGACCTGCTGGGGACACCAGCCAGCCCGTGGCTCCGCAGCGCAGGGAGACGGATCCCATCCCCGCTGCGCCCAGCCGGGGTCAGCAGCACCCAAAGGTGCCTGGCGATGCTGTCCCAGCATCCATCCCCACCTTCCTCGCGGGACCCAGAGCCCGTGGGGTTTCAGCGATCCGGGGAGGTGCCATCCGCTGGCACACAGAAGGCTAATGGCTCCAGACCACTTGCTATGCCACTCACTCCAAACACGTTTAGCTAAAATAAATGTCGACAGGCAAACTCCAAACACATCCAAGAGTAAAGAGGCCCTGCGCTGAATCCACAAGCAAGCCGAGGGGACCCATCACTTCCCCGGGGACAGAAGTACAGCCAGCTCCTGGCTGGAGGAGAGGCAAACAGCAGGGAAAGCCAACACTTGTTAAATTTGCCTGCCCCTCCTCATGGCAGGCGTCACCCCATCCCCGCTGCAGGTCAGAACCTCCAGCCCAGCTCTGGGGCTGCAGCCTTCACCTCCATCTCAGGCTTAGCCCAGCGGACAACCCTCCACCCATGGCTTAGAGCACCTTTCTGTGCAGGTTGGGGTTACCTCCAGGGCAGCACATGGTCATTTCAGCCCTGCAGAATATAAAGGAACCCCGAGAGGAGTGCTTTGTCATGCAAAGCCACAGCCCCTGGACTGACGCCAGAGTGCAGCACTCCCACCGCAGGGCCATGGTTGCTGTGGGGGCGGCGGAGGGAGGGGGGGGGGGCGGCTGAGATTTTTTTTTTATAAACGATGCGATTTACAGCTTCCATCTTGCCCCCAACACACGCGGCGGCTGATGCACCCCAGAAGCAGGCAGGCAGGGCAGTGGGGAAAAAAATAAACCAGAGGAGCTGAAAAATTACTGGAGCAGAAGTGACATTCTTGCAATCTGAGGAACATCCTTACTTGGTAGGAAGCCAAATCCGACCCAGAGGAGGTTCACTGCAGAGCCCTCGCATCCCGCAGGACAAGCCCGAGGGACCCAACCTGGCTGTGGTGGAACCGCTCAAACATACAACTCTGTGGAAACATCCTTTGGGGTGTCTGGCCAGAGAAACCCATTGCATGAGGCGCCCCAACCCCTGGCACCAAGCAGGTAAACGCGGTGTCTCGGGGACAAAGCATTAAGTTAAGGGCACACAGGTTCCCAGAGGGGCTCAGCACATGCAGAGAGGATGTAGCAGGTGCTCAGACGTGCGGGGCAGAGGGCTCAGAGCTTGCACCATGACCAAGAGTGCAGCGCTGAAGGCAAAGGTGTAGTCCCACTGAGG